CTGAAAGAGCTTCATAAAGGAGGCTGCACTGAGTTAGATTATGAGGGAAAGCATATGTTTAGTGCAAAGAGTGGGGAGGTAAAGCCTTCTAGGAAAGGAGTTAGGAGAAGGGGAATATAAAACTCAAAAGGCATGAATGAACAAGAATATTGTTCATTCGTGAATTGTTCAAGCCATGATTGGGGTCCCTCTTTTTCCCTCAGTACAGCAGAATTCATTACGAAGAGATCTCATTTCTTTTTCTTCTATTTTGGTAATTTCCCTTTCTTTCTGCCATTCTCTGTGTTGGCATAAAACTTCCTACGTTTGCCTATTTCAACATTTTTTTTTTCTCTAAAGACAAGAACCCACTGAGTCTGGGAATGTACATAAGCCAGCTAAGCATTTTAAATTAAGGCAAGTCCAAACATTTTCATTTTATTAGCCCATGCCATCTTTTACTCCCCCCTCCTCTTCACTCATGGATCCATACTAAGAAGAAAAAATATAAGGTAATAAGGCAAACTGCTTTCTTTCAAAATGCCTAGTAAGATGTTCTGAGCATTTTAGATGATCCTACATAGCTCCATGATCTCTTGTGAAATAAATGTTAGCTTGTGATTAAACGTTGGTATTTTCCAATTCTCCAATTATAAAAAATATATAAATCTTCTAAGATTATAATTATACATTATATTAAAGAAAGTCATGTACATAAATAATAAAGAAGAATCTCATTTTCTTTTAAGCTTAAGTTTTCCATATTTTCCTGGTTTGGAGGTATCTTAAAGGTAGAAAAGATTATAGACTTTGGGAGATTTTATTTGTTTAGATATTATTTAAGACAGAGATTCCACTAATGCTTATGGAATTACTTCTTCATAATCAGCAACCTCCTCTGTACCCTCAAATTCTTCTCTAAAGCCTTCCTCAGCCTTCTTGCCTTAAAAGAAACATGGCTATCCCCAGAAAACACCACTATCCCTGAATCCTCCTCAAGTAAATTGAGGCCATTGTCCTTTCTCACCGCTTCTTTCCCATTCTCTTGTTAAAAACTCAGCTGATTTGACACTCTAGCCAGTCAGGTGTTCTCCCTTTCCCCCCTTCATCACTGTTATTTATTAAACTTCAGTTAAGTTTCACTTGTTTACCAGAAGAATTGACACATGGACTTTCTCTGCCTTCCAAGTCATGCCATTGTCCTGAGATAATATCATATCCCCTCAATTTTTAGGTTTTCTCCTATGTAATGACTTTCTCCTCTACCCTCTCTACTTCCATTTTAGTGGTCACCGTAATTGTAACTGTTCTACTTCTCAAAACACCAAAACAAACATCTCGGTCTCCTCTCATTCCAATTTGGTTTGCCAAGTATTCACAGTATTAGCAATCTTTAAATTCACCAAGATTCCAGTCTGTTGATTTCTTTTCTGTCTCCCAATCCACACTTCCTTTACTTTCTCCCCTTTTAATCCAGCGTACATTCCCTGGTGTGTCATTCTCAGTCATTCGCTTAATTGTCTTAACAGTAACCTACATTGTTTTGTTTCTGCCCTCCTATATGCGCCTTAGCCTACCCCGCAACGTACATTTTCTTTTTATGTTTCCCCCACAAAACCTCTACCTGGCTGAAGTCAGCTCTCTACTTTCTCATCACCTCAAGTAGAACTGCAGAGAATTTTTAAACAAATCACTCCACGGGTCTATGGGTAGCCCTGTACATTTTGCATCACCAACCCCAAATGGATTCCTAGTGCTGCATTAGCCGTCATCATCTCTGTCCGCTCATCTCACTTCCCCATTCCCCACAGCAATGAAATTAAACTTTATTTATTCTTTTCAAGTACCCCTCCCACTTTCATCAGCTCTTACATCCTATCACACTGGAATGTACTTATCTTGAAGCTGCCAAGCATACAGATTGTCAATATCTATATTAATGTCACCTTCCTTCCCCTCAGTGACAACAGGAATGCCATATGTTCTCTCTCTTTGGGTTATGTTTCTATCTGTGCGTTGGGTTCCATCTTCTTTCCCCTCTTAGGAATTTTACATCATTATTTTTCTGCCTCTCTTCTGCAAAGCCAACCTCTCCATCTCACTAAATCCTTCCAGTTGGCTCTTCAGCATATGCAGTCTCTCCCTTTAAAACTAAACTACACAAAATATGTCTTTGAAGTTACTGCTCTATTTCTTGCCTCCACTTTAACACTAAATTATTCAAGAAGTTATGTGCACTAACTGTCTCCCAGTCAATCCTTCACCACTACAATCTGCCTTCCAACCTTTTCACTTCCACCAAAACCATTTTGCTCAACAGCTTATATCTATGTTGTTAAACTCAAAGGACATATTTAAGTCCTTACCTAATTTACACTCAGTAAGAATTCAATATTGTTACAGATATCCTTTCCTTCTGATTTTCTCCTTTCTTCTTGTCTTCTTTTGCTCCTCTACCACAAAATTAAATGTCAGCACTTTTCAGAGCTTGGTTCTGGATTTGTTCCTTATCACACTTGAAGGAAGTTCATCCACATCCATTGTTTTTGTTTCAATTACCATTAACAGACAGATGACTCACAATTTTCTTGTTCAGTCAGGACTTCTCCTCTAAGCTTCAAGGCTACATATCCTTATGTCTTTTGAATATCTAGATGCCCAAATCATGATCTTTTACCCAACCCAGCCTTGTTCTGGTGCTCTGACATTGTTTAATAGTATGTATTTACTGGAAAGAAAAATGAAATATTATCTTTCTCTCTGTCTCCCTCCTCTCTCTCTCTCTCACTCTCTCTCTCTCACACACACACACACACACACAAGCACACACAAGCACACACACACACCTCAGACTCATTCCGTTACCTAAACTTGTCAGTTTTCATCATTAAGTGCTGCATATTTTTCCACTAAACTGGTGTTTTGTTTTGTGTGTGTGTGTGTGTTTGTTTAAGCCTGTAGATTTCTATTCAAAGTAAATCTTTTGTGGAAACAGTGCATAAAACAGATTAAAAGAGATTAAAGCAGATCACTGCTGTGATTAGAGACAGTTCAATTCAACCTTATCTAAGAAGATCTTTTATGTCCCTACACAGACCCCTCTTTACCACTTGACTTAAGGAAATTATTCTAAGCAACTTCCCACAGAATCACTTGGATCTGAAGGTTGAGGCTTAGGAACAGTTCTACTGCATTCATATGTTGACTGTCTATGGGGCCTTTTACCACCTCAGTACATGATGTACTCTTGGTATTTGTGAATTTGAAGTTGAGAATACCAATATAGCAGAAGTTAATGTCATCACTGGCGGAGATATTTGCTTCAACCATTTTACCAAATCACATGTTTCTATATGAAACAGAAAGGTGACCTTTTCATGACATCAGTTGAGTCCATGGACTATATTTAGCATTCCATCTTTTGTCAAAACAAAAACTTTCTTAGAAGGAATCACTACTTTTAGGCATCTTCATTTTATCTTTATTTATCTTATTTTATTTCTGCTGATGCTAGGAGTGAGGTTAAATTGCTAAAACAAAAGCAGATGGATACTGCATCCATTTAATAGCAATTGCTTTACACAATAGTGGGAGAGGATACCAGAATGAACTAGGTGAGGAATCTGCATTTCATTAGCTAAGGAGCTTATACCCACATGCCATGCATGTCTGAAATTGTGTCTCAACAGCATAACCATCGGTACTGTTATGAACTGGGGTTTTTTACAATAGTTGAAAGCACAAATGTTAAGGGAAATGCCCTGAAAAAATGGCAGCTCTTTTCCCTCAGTTTTTCTCCTGTAAATGTTTTTTTTGTTCCAGTTTAAGTTCACAGTAGTGAAGATAGTATGCCTCATATATTTGGGGGGTAATTGAAGACGAGATCATCAAATGCATACTACTATTTTCTAATTATATATTGATATATATTTGATATGATAATATATAAGTGGGTATGAAAATTAGAAAACATAAGCATGCTGAGAGGTTATTTTTCTAAAACCCTTGCCTTTTCATTCATATGATACACCTAGAAAATGTGTCTACTCTAAGAAATGTTTTAGAGTTTTTAGCTGTTTCTCAAACTTAATTCATTTATTTCAGTGTATTTTAAATTTAACAAAAGTGAAGAGCAAGTCACCACATCATTGTTTGAATTGCTGCTGTTTAGAAAATATAACTTCATGTACAAAAATCTAAAACTTACAATTAGAGATTGAGACAATTTTCAATATATTACTTGATTTAAATATACATATTTGAGAAGCAAAAGTATATATATTGCTTCTCAAGATGTCTTAGCTCATTTACTAACTTTTTACCATTTTTATGCAAAATGGTCTGATTGACTTGGTTTGTTTTGTTATATTACTTAATCCATAAAATAAGGAACACTAGTTCTCTGTATATGAAATACACTTTATCCTTTTTCCTTTAGGAAACTTTTCTCTCTTCAATGTTAAATTACCATCTCAAAGAAGTAATATCACAATCTTTATGAATTGCCAAACTGTACTTACTATAGGGTGGCTGAATGGGTTGGTAATTTAGGAGCTCTGTAATTACTAAGATTATCATTACAGGGTGAGCATGATATTAAAAAAAAAATCTCATTTCCTTCTGTCTTAAGAATATAATGTCAATATATTGCTATTTTTTGAAGTCCCTCATGGACATTTCTCATGTCTTAGGCAGAGGCATCTATTAGCATATATTACATTGTATTGTGACCCTTATTTCCACTTTCTGTCTTTTATGAGAGCAAACAAACAAACAAAAAAAAAGCCACATGAAAGAAAAGCTAATTCAGAAGTGGAACTAGTGGCAGGAAAGTAAATTAAGTGTCAGATATGTGTTTGCAGTTCTTGGCTAAGTTATCAAAATTTTACCCGAAGCATGTTAGAAAACATCACTTATGGGAACCCCCTCCTCTCTCACTCTTGCCTTCTAAACCCTCTGAAAACCACATCTGTTTCCCACTGATAGCTTTTAACATGCATCCCTTTAATGTCTTCTAACAGGACTTGGAAATTGAGAGAAGTTTACGTTCACCAAAATTTAAGAGTCACCCTGGGAGCCCGTCCGATGATTCTCCGAATGATTCAGACAAGAAAGGTGAGGAAACAGCTTTTGACAAGATGTCACCTGAAAGTGGTCACAGCCACATCCTGGAAGGTTGGCACAATATTTTGATGTGATTTCTTGGGATCATATATTGTATAATATGATTGGTTGATAAGAATAGAAATATAAAAGCTTTGTTTTAAAAATTAATAAGAAACAAGTGAGAGGATATAGGCTTAAGAAATACAATTCAGGGAAAATAGTAGTATATTTAAATACTTGTATCTCTATTATATTTGCTTTAATTTTTAAAACTAAATAGAATATATTTGAATTGATTGTAAACCAATACAATAAGCATTTTCAGCATTGGGCTTTTTGAACAATGCATTTGACCATCATCTGACTTTTCCTTTTGTAAAAGAAAGGAAACATATTTGTCTCTCTGTCTGTGGGATAATAAAAGGATAATATATAAGTTACTGTCAGTGGCAAAATTAAAAAAAATTAAAAATGCCTTCAGCATCTCTTTTTTCAGGCATTTAAACTAAATGTGCTTAATGAATTTGGAATACAAAGTGACATGAGTGTGTCATAATTCAGGAGAAAACCTGGTAAATTTGATTAATGTTTTACAAATGTCATTAAAAAGTTAATAGCTCATGTTAGAAATTGTGCTATTAATATAATTTTCAACTATGACAGGAGTGCAAAATATAAATAATTTATTGGGAAATACAGATATCATTTATCATTTCTGATTAATAACATTCTGGATTTTTTCATTTTAGCCATGCAATGCATACTATACTATTTGTGCTGTTTGTTAAAATCATAATTAGTACAACTTTCAAGATGTCATTTCATGTGTATACGTGTGTGTGTGTGTGTGTGTGTGTGTGTGTGTGTGTAACTGTGTATATATACACACATAACTGTCAAGTTTCCAGTCAACATCAGCAGTGTGGAATATAACAGGCAGTTCACAATTTGGGAAAGCCAATAATGCTCCCGTTAAAACTTTGCCATTAGGATGCCTGGGTGGCTCAGTCAGTTAAGTGTCCTACTCTTGATTTCTGCTCAGGTCATGATCTTACAGTCAGTGAGACTGAGCCCTGAGTCACACTCTGTACTGACAGAGCAGAGTCTGCTCAGGATTCTCTCCCTTTCCTTCTCCCTCTCTCTGCCCCTCCCCTGTTCATGTGTGTTCTCTCTCTCAAAATAAATAAATATACTTAAAAAAAAAAAAAAAACTTTGCTATTCAAAGTGTCCTCTGTGAATCAGAGTATCAGCATTATCTGAAGGCATATTAGAAATGCAGAACTTTGGGCCCTACACTAAGTCTACCAAACCAGAATCTGCATTTTAACAAGATCCTCAGATGATTCATGTGCACATTAAAGTTTGAGAAACTTTACTCTAGGCCCCTCTGGATAATTTACATATGATTCAGCCCATTCTGATTCCAATCGGTTAAGTACTGTAATTTGGAGTGGGAGGTGAGTGTGGGAAGAATGAAGAGGAGTTTGCTAATGATGAACTGGATGGACATGGATTTCTAAATACAAGTAATTTGGGATCTCAATGTCTAATTTTCATTTGCAGTTCATTTTTGTATGCCCAGTTGATAGCCTCAGATGATTAGTTCAGTCTTAAAGAATTTATTCCACGTATTTCATAAGCTTTATGAGCAGTTGGCTGAATGCCAAAGAATTAGATTAGCAGAGGCCAAAAAAGGGAAGCTTTAGGGATGATTTATGTTCAGATGATGTTGACCTACCTAGATCTTCGCACAGGGAGGCCAGTATGAGGTTGGCAACTGACCAGTGTTGCATGAGACAAACACCTTCGCTCAACCTGCCTCACTTTTCTCCTGTGTTTTCTGTTTCTCATGCAGAAATTTTTAAAGCCTCTTTATTTTACACACTTAAAAAGGTATTCTGGAAGGTAATCATTATTGAGTATCAAGGTATGACTTAAATTTAAGAATGACCTCAGATTTAAATTTCCTGGTATGTTGAAAGCATCAAGAGCTAAACTGAAAAACACAGGGTGTGAATACTATACTAAGGATGAACACAGCAGCTAACTTTACTTTTATTTTATCTGTACAAGGCACAAGAACTGTATTTCTATGTGTCACTACTTGTAAAAGAAAGACATTTCTTTCATTTGGGGATCCTGTTAATTCTTTCATGGTGACCAAAATTTCTACCTAAGGTGGGACAGTTATGAGCCCTTTTAATGCAGATAGTTAACTTTGACAGGCTTTATAATGAGCTCTACCAAACCTGCACAACGAAAAAGTGTATCGGCTGCCTTTTTGTTGCAAAGAGATTTTATTCCAAGAAGACAACTATGTGCATCTGAATAAAATGTGGTAACAAATATGTCAGAGTATGTGATTATATGAGTGGCTGTGATGGCCTCACATACTAAACATCTTAAGTAGCCTCGAGAGTTTCATACTTGAAGGCAATATTTATTTAGAGCTCTTTCATAAACAATAGAATCTTAAAGTGGAACTTAAAAAGATCATTACAACATAGCTACCTAATGTCCTGCCTTCCTAGAATTTAGTAAAATCCATGTAAATTGATCAACGGATACATCTCACGACTCCAGTATAGCAATGGCTGTGGATTATTAGTTCCCGCCCTTCTCAATTGCAGGTCCTGGGTAGCCACACAGAAAGGCACTGGAATCCCCCCAGATTTCTTTCTACACTTGAATATCCATCCACTCCCAAGTTGTATTTGATTGCTTTCCTCACCCTTAATTAGGTTACCAATATATTTGTGTCAAATAAACCGTAGTGCTTCTTATGTATGTTGGTGCATTCCATTCACACTTTCCGTGGGATGTATTCTAATTGTTAGCTGTTCCAATGATCCTAGTAAGACTTGGCTCCTTTGAAATTAAATGTCAAGCATGAAAAATCCATAATTTGACAAATCTGGGTGATGTAATAGATACAAGGGAAAAAATAAATTCATATAAATAGTTTTGATTAATGGTACCACAGTGATATAAAATGTCTGTGAAATTGCCTTTAGCTATTTTAAAACCAGTTAAGCTGGAAAGTGAATATTGGGAGTCTTAGATACTGATTTACATGGTTTGATCTACTTCAGTTTGATCTACCTGTATGTAGAGTAAAAATTTTATTTTTTCCTCAGAAAAAATCTGATTCAAAGGATGCTTCACATAGAACAGGTGATTGATTATTGTTCATCATGTCTAAATGTTTTAATATGACAATTACCTAGTTTTCACTTTTATTCTCTAAATCAGCATTTGAATATTAATCTTCTTAGCCATCAACATGTAAAATGCTGAAAGATAAAATACACATTAAAGTCATTCGTTCACGACTTTTGTAGTAACCCTTAGAAATTACCTGCTGTATTTCTCTTTTTATTCTGTTCCATTAAAGCAGATTCATTCTTTATTCTTGTAACAGCCATTCATCTTCTTTGGTAGATTTTGCAAATCAAACTCAGGATTCTGTTTTGTTTTGTTTAAATTTTCTACTCTCTAAGTAGTGGGATCCTTTCAGCTATTAATGTTTCTGAAATACTGATGGATGTGCAATATATGTATTTGTGTGTGAACTGTTGCTGTTTATATATCTTATTTTTTCATTTAAAAACAGACATTTTAGAGAAATGCTGTATGATAAACAACTGTATGTTGTACAGTGTGCAAAGCACTAGCCACTAAACACTGATGGCTATGGCACACTTGAAAAGTAGCTAGTGCGACTAAACAACTTGTTAATTTTATTGAATCCTAACTAATTTAAATGTAAACAGTCACCATTTTGGACAGCCCAAATTTAGCAGATGTCATTTCTCCAAATAACTTGTCTACCCTTTTCATAGGAAGGAGTTCAGATGCCAGTTGTTCATTTTAAGTTATCCTTTCTTTGCAAATTTATCTTAATTAAAATGTATGTGAATCAGTGTAAAGATAATCTATGTTTGTAAACTAAACAAATCAGTAGCGGTAATCCACATATTAAAAAGACTGCCTTCAAGAGCTGGTAATGGTCTTCTCTCTATGGTATTTCCTAGTGGTAAAGAAAAAAATACTTTCACCTGTGTTCCCTTTTCAGCATATGGAAAAACAATTCTTTTATCATAGGAACAGATATATCTATGCGTTTTTCCATAACATCTTTTGTAGGGCTTAATTTTCTTGGGAATGTGAATCATCACAGGTCAGGAAGCACACCATTTGCTTCATACCTAAAGTCGACAAAGTTAAATGAAATGCAGTAACAGGATACTTTAAAATTAACAAAACTGTTCCTTTAATAAAAAGGGGCTTTGTTTGGAAACTTATAAATATATCAGACATTTAGTCACAGAGCCGCCCTGGTGAAGGCCATCAGTACCATTCCTTTGGCTCTGACTGATTTGTTCTTTCTAATGAGACTCAGACAACAGGCTTTAGACTTAGTCTCTGGACAAACACCATCGTGGACCCAAGACTCCCAGCCCAGTCTTTAGCTCCAAACCTGCTTCCTTACCCATCCATACCCTCCTTCATGCCCCAGACAATCTCCTGTAAAACAAGCCATGTTATTTTCATTCACATAGGAGACTTTTCATTTGTAGAAATGTTGTCAGTGAAGTACAATTTAAAATAATTCTGAGATAACGCCCTTTACAAAGTGAAGAATCCTTTTGTCATATGATCAGTATTTGATATGTTTCATCTGTTTCCTCAATTTGGGAGTGTTTTTTTCTCTCGTAAAGTGGGTTTTACCTGCAGTTTTCAATGACTTCCACATGTTCCTGTTAGTTGCTTTTATAGTCAATGAGTCAAAACAAATTCCAGAGTTAAATGATGGTTCTCCTGGAAGGGGCAGCTGTGAGTTTGCTATTCAGAGGAAATTGTAATGAAAGGTCTATTCATGAGGTCTTTCACATGGAAGTTATAAATCCCCTTGGAATGCTGGAAAATTTCTGTTGATTAATAATCAAAATCCCAGGAACTCATTTTGAACTTGTGTATGGTCATACTTAATTTTAAAACATGATGCCATCAAAGAAAGAGAACAACATATATAAATGTCCCCTTGAAATGCATTCATTCATTTTCC